CTTCCTCTTATACAGACTAGACCAACGGTTCTCAACCTGTGGGTCCCCAGATGTTGTTGGACTACAACTCCCATCATCCCTGAGCTCTGGCCTTGCTAGCTAGGGGTGATGGGAGTTGTAATTCAACAACATCTGGGGACCCACAGGTTGAGAAAGACTGGACTAGACATACCCAACTCCATCAACCATTCCTCATAAGGCTTAATTTCCAGACCCTTTGTCTTCCTGGTTGCTGTCCTCTGCACACATTCCAGCTTGTCAATGGTCTTCTTAAATGCGCTGCCCAGAACTGGACACAGTACTCTAGGTGTGGTCTGACCAAGGCAGAATAAAGCAGTACTGTACTATGACTGCCTTTGAAGTAGTGTTTTAATGTACTTTACCTGAACACAGGTAGAATATAAAAAGCCTGAATTTGTTAAACAGCCCACCCTGTGGAATGCCCTCCCTTCAGATGTGAAGGAAATAAGCAACTATCCTATTTTTAAAAGACATCTGAAGGCAGCTTGTTTAGGGAAGTTTTTAATATTTAATGCTGTATTGTTTTTAACACTCGATTGTTCGCTGCCCAGAGTGGCTGGGGAAACTCAGCCAGATGGGCGGGGTATAAATAAATTATTATTATTATTATTATTATTATTATTATTATTAACAACAACAACAACAACAACAACAAACAAACAAACAAACAAAGAAACAAAGGAGAAATCATTTTGATCTTTATTTCATTAATACTTTTAAAAAGCTTGCTACTGAGGTAACTTACTAACTTTTACTTTGGAGGTGTGTAATTTCGACTCAGCATGCTATATGAGCTGAAGTCTTTGATGTTAGCCAAAGTTGTTTATGAACAGAAAATCCAATATCTTCCAGGGAAATTCTTCAGCACGTCCTGTCTCTTTTTAACTTTGTATTTGTATGAGGGGAAGGGGGAAGAGCTGCAGTTGCTGAAGACTTTTAAACTGAGAAAACATCACCATAAGCCCCATTTCTATGTCAACATATTTTGTTGTTGTTCATTTGAAGAAATTAGAATGAAAGACCATGGGAACAATTAATTTCAGCCCATAAATGACTGCTTTAAGTTTAGCCGATGATATTTAAGGAGCAAAATGTTTTAAATTTGATGTTTTTTACATGTTACCAAGCTTAATTCTGGGATTTGTATACTGCCTTGTGAAGACCATTAGACCTTGAAAAGTGGTCTAGAAATCTTTTGATAAATGAAAATGAAATAAGTTGGAGGCAAATGAAAGAGAACTAGGAATCTTCTTTCTTACTGCCGTTGCACGATACCACGACACTTTATGTTATTAACTAAGTTTGTTCCGGGTATAAGCTTTCGTGTGCATGCACACTTCTTCAGATATTAAATGCATGCACACGAAAGCTTATACCCAGAACAAACTTAGTTGGTCTCTAAGGTGCTACTGGACATTTTTTTTTAATTTTTATTTTTATTTTGACTGCGTCAGACCAACACGACTTTATATTATTGTTGACCATTTTGCTATTGTTTCTAAAAATATAAATCACATATTCTCAAAATCACACTTGAAGATCTGCAACAGCATGTGTTACAACATGAAGGGCAGGCATAAGCAGGGTCAGAAACTGGTGGAAATTAGTGATACAGTACCTCCATATAATTGGGACGCGGGTGGCACTGTGGGTAAAACCTCAGTGCCTAGGACTTGCCGATCGTATGGTCCCGTCGTTCGGTTCCAGCTCCTGCCCACCTAGCAGTTCGAAAGCCCCCCTAAGTGCAAGTAGAGAAATAGGTACCGCTTTATAGCGGGAAGGTAAACTGCGTTTCCGTGCGCTGCGCTGGTGCTGGCTCGCCAGAGCAGCTTCGTCACGCTGGCCACCTGACCCGGAAGTGTCTTGGACAGCGCTGGCTCCCGGCCTCTTAAGTAAGATGAGCGCACAACCCTAGAGTCGGACACAACTGGGCCGTACGGGCAGGGGTACCTTTACCTTTACCTTTACCTCCATATATGAGCAGAAGGGCCTTCTGGGACATTCTGAATCCAAACCAAAGTATGCACTATGAATGTTCCTACAGACTCTTCATATTTAAACCATAAATTAAAAAGTATGTCATATACTGTATGTTGGAGTAAGTCCCACTGAACACAGTGGATCTTGCTTCCAAGTAAACATGTGAAAGGTTGAGCAGTCAGTCTGCTTCCCCATTCTGAATGTGTTCCACTAGTCATTGTCCGTCCGTCCGTCCGTCCATCCCTCGCCGCCATGTACCTTCCATGTTATTCATTAAATCAGTACTAAATTATATCACATAGACATAGCTAATTGTGCTGGTCTTTCTTGTTGTGTCACTTGCCATGGAATCCTTTGCAAACCCCAAAGAAAAGTTTTGTGTGAGATTTCTCTTCCAGTGCTATAATGTTGCGAGAATGTAGCCTGGAGTTAAGTTTGCTGTTTTATTCTTGTCTACATCAAAAGTTGTAACTCTAAATAACAGATATTGAGGTGAAGCTGAATGTTGGTAGGGAAAACCCACATCTTCCATTGTGTGTGGATTTGACTGACTTTAATGATGGTTTGCTAAAGTAAACGGTTGTTCATTAACCTCCTTTACAGGACAACCTCCTTTGTCTCTCGCTCTCTCTCTGTGTGTCTGTCAGTATATTTAGAAAAGTTACCCTGCACATTTTTGAGCCAATTAATTTTTCTGTATTTTTTTTCTCACTTACCATGACCTTTATAAATGTTTTGCCCATCAATAAAAGTGTGAAGAGGAATTCTGTATTCAGAGAATGCTGCATTGTAGTTCTTGTACACGTTTAAGAAATGATTGCAGTTAAGCACTACATAAATTGTTTAAATAAATAAAATACAAAAAAATGAAAACCACTAATATTTGAATATTGATACAGAACATCCAAGTTTATAGGTGTAAGGGAAGAATTCAACATAATGCTACAACAATCATTCCATCAGTGCAGGGTTTTTAGCTTTCTTAGGTTTTTTCTGACCCAACCCCCAGCTGTTTTGGGGGGTTTAAGTCCCACTGTGCTAGTGGAAGTTGTAGTGTGAGCTTCTGCTAGTGGAGAGAGCTAATTAAATCTTGCCCTATGTTCTTTGTATAGGATGTCCCTTAGATATGAAAAGGCACAGGTACATTCCTTTAAACTTCACAGTGCAACAGGACAGAAGGTAGATGTGGTCCATTCTGACCATTCCTATCCCAGGAATAACTTTCAAAAGTAATTTGAAAGATTAATTATTGGATAATTAATGTGGATCATCTGTGACCTAATCCTGGATGAATACTGTGAAGGAATAGAACTTTTAGCCATTTTGCATTGGCTTTCAGGTTGTAAAATGGTTAATTTTGATTTAAAAGCTCTTGAGCACTGGGTGGTCAAAAGTTCACAGGAAGGTTAAAAGTACAAGGGGATGCTTTGCTCAGGAGGTTATTCACAGGGCGGTCAAAAGTTTAAGAAGCACAGGTTTTGCACAGGAAAGTCAAATACTCATCTTAGAGTACTCTCCTGATTGGCCACAAGGTTGTGAAAGGGAATAATTGTTTAATACATATAGGTCAAGTTTGAAAACAGTGTAGTTATTCAAAACAAAATGGGAACACAACTAGCTATAAATTCTTTATTTTCCATTCCCCTTCTTCAGTGTATATTATGCATTCTAAGACATATTGCTGTTTAGCTCATATTTAACCTTTTAAATGTAAATGGAGAAATGGGGCCATTAGTATTAGTTCAGTCTAATTGACTTAAACACTTCATGGTCACATTCCCAGATGTTGGTCTAATCAGCCTTCTGCTACATCTCTCAGAGACTCTGAAGTGGCAAGATATCTTCCTCTATAATATACTGCTTGTCCACTGTGACATTGACCAGAGACAAGAAAAGGAGTGTGCTGAGTTTTAAATGAAATGCAATACATTTTAGGTCATATCCATAGAACCCTTTGGGTCTGAATGTTTCAAGGCAGCTGCATGTTTGCACTCAACTGATCTCCCCACCACCTCATCTCTCCCCTCCAGTTAAGAAGCAGATGCGCAGCTTGGGGTTACTTCTGCATCCATTGCTGTTGCTTGCAATTCAGGTGGCCTCAGTGGCACAGAGTGTCTTCCATCAGCTTTGGCTGGTAGCCTAGCTGTGCCCCTCCCATTTGGACACGGGTAGCCTAACTTCTGTTGTCTATGCTCTAGGTTAAATTACTGCAACATGTTATATGTGGGGCTGCCCCTGAAGGTTCAGAAACTTCAGCTGGTGCAGAATTCAGTGGCCAGGTTGTTCAGTGGCCAGGTTGTTCACTGAGGAAAGACGGTTTGAACATATAATGATAATTCTGGCTGCCAATTAGTTTCTGGGCCCAATTCAAAGTGCTGGCTTTGACCTACAAAGCCATAAAAGACTCAGGACTGTGATCCCTCAAGGACTGCTTCTTCCCATATGAACCAACCTGGACCCTTTGATCATCATCTGAGGCCCTTCTTCACGTGCCTCCTGAGCAAGAGGTCCAGACAATGGCCACAAACCTTTTCTGCTGTGGCTCCTTGCTTGTGGAATGTACACCCCAGGGAGGCTTGCCTGGCGCCTTCATTATAGCAATTTAATTAATAAATAAAACAGCAGCAGCAACAACTCCACTGTTAGGAGGTTATGTGAGCACCACTGCCCACCATGCCATCCACCACTGCCCACCATCTTTATATGCCGTCTTTCAGCCACACTGTGTGGGATAATCAGCTGGCATAAGGTTCAAAAGAAATGGCTGGCCTTGCTGGGTTCCTGTCTGCAAACACAGCTTTTTAGAGCAATTTTGATTGACCATGTAAGCCTACTCTGTGCTGATTTCAACAGATGGTGCTGGACTTCACGGGAACAGCATGGCACATGGCACTCTGTCAATACAATACAATACAAATACCTTTATTGGCATTACAAGTTAAGACATTTCAAATCACTGGGGATAAATTTAAAAGGGAGAGGAGTGAGGCTGTTGAGGGTCACTCACCTGGCAGGGGAGACACCATGATCATGAAGGTAGTTTTCCCAGGGTGAGGCTCATCCATTGCACTCTGTCTGAAGTGGCAAAATATCTTCCTCTTTGCTGTCACAGACTCGGACAAAATATGATTCATGTCCCACTAGATCATCTGTTCATACTACAGTGGTGCCTCGCAAGACGAAATTAATTCGTTCCGCGAGTTTTGTCGTCTTGCGATTTTTTTCGTCTTGCGAAGCACGGTGTCGGGAAAGTTTTGGAAAAGCTTCAAAAATCACCAAAGTCTTTAAAAACCTCAAAAAAGTCTACCACACTGCATTCTATGAGTTGCTCCTCGAAGTCAAGTCGCAACTGTATTAACGGTGTTAAGAAAAAGGAAACAAACTTGCAAGACGTTTCCGTCTTGCGAAGCAAGCCCATAGGGAAAATCGTCTTGCGAAGCAGCTCAAAAAACAAAAAACCCTTTCGTCTAGCGAGTTTTTTGTCTTGCGAGGCATTCGTCTTGCGAGGTACCACTGTACTCCATTCAGAAAATTGGCTCCTTGTGTAATGGGTGTAGAACAGACCCTCACCCTCTTGCCCATAGCATCAAATATAGGGGCAGACTGCCACACTTCCAGGTTAGAACTGTCAGTATCAAACAAAGCCTTGCCAGGAAATATTTGTTCCATGACAATGGGGTAACCAGCCACCAGCCACCCAGTAGGCCCATGAAGCCCCAAGCCAGACCAATCAATGAGGCCTCTGTGTGGATGTTGGGTGCCAGAGTAGTCTGGATCCTCGGAGCTAATGGCTGATACAGACAGAATAACCACCCAAAGATGCCTACAAATCCTTCTCCTTCGCTGCCTCAGTCGACCATCTCAATGTTCTTAACGAACAAATAGGACTTCAGAACTTTAAGTGATCTTTCAACTTTGGAGAGAGTTGGAAGCATGTGCAATTATTTATTTTCTGACTCCGTGAAACGAGCCAACATTGTGGAAGAACACCGCTGCCAAGTATCACAGAAGCAAACCATCAAAAGGTGTACCGGATTTGATAAACATCACTTATGTTCAGTTCTTGTCAATCTTGTTGTTCAAATAAATACTGGAGAGATTACTTTTATAACTGTTCCTGTTTATTTTATAGAAAGACTAGAATATAGCCATGGGGATTGCAGTTCTGTTGTCCCGCCCCCCCCCCCCATAGTAGATCAAGATCCAGCACTCAAGGAGGCTCATCCATTAGATCACACAGCCCTACTCAGATTGAATTTGCAGCAGTGATATTCATATGCTTTTGGATGAGGGAAGCAGAGCAGACTAATGCTTCCCACCCCACAAACACATGATGGATATCTTAGTTGTGCTACGCTTGCTGTAGGGGACTTGGTAAATGGTATTACTCATTACAGTGGTACCTCAGGTTACATACGCTTCAGGTTACAGACTCTGCTAACCCAGAAATATTACCTTGGGTTAAGAACTTTGCTTCAGGATGAGAACAGAAATCGTGCTCCGGCGGCGCAGCAGCAGTGGGAGGCCCCATTAGCTAAAGTGGTGCTTCAGGTTAAGAACAGTTTCAGGTTAAGAACGGATCTCTGGAACGAATTAAGGACTTAACCCGAGTTACCACTGTAGTTACTCATAGAAAGAAAAAGTCTCAAAGCAACTTAACAAGATATAAACACACCCACATGTGCAAGATGTGTTTATGTGTTGAGTTTTTCTTGTAGATTGAAATGCATATTTAGAACCCTGCTTTCATGCACTAAAGCCTCTACCTGGATTGGAATATAACTTGGAAAATAAATACTGTTGATCTCTTGGGGATTCTATTGTGAAGCCATTTTGATTCAATCAGTTCTAGGGGGAGGAATGGTCTGTGATCAAAACTTTTCTTATTGCTCCACTTATTAAAATAATACTATAATCTATAATTAAATATTTTAATTTAGTATTATTTAAGTATAATTTATTGTGACTTTTTGGGTGGATCTGAATCTTTTCAGACTTTTATACTTCATGATAGTCTGTGTTCTACGATTTCCATTAGGGAGAATACTTGAACTTGTACAACCTATGTAAAGGTAAAGGTAAAGGTACCCCTGCACGTACGGGCCAGTCGTGTCCGACTCTGGGGTTGCACGCCCATCTCGCTTAAGAGGCCGGGGGCCAGCGCTGTCCGGAGACACTTCCGGGTCACATGACCAGCGTGACAAGCTGCATCTGGCGAGCCAGCGCAGCACACGGAAACACCGTTTACCTTCCTGCTATAAAGCGGTACCTATTTATCTACTTGCACTTAAGGGTGCTTTCGAACTGCTAGGTTGGCAGGCGCTGGGACCGAGCAACGGGAGCACACCCCACCGCGGGGATTCAAACCGCCGACCTGACGATCGGCAAGTCCTAGGCGCTGAGGTTTTACCCACAGTGCCACCCGCGTCCCTAAAGAACCTATGTAGAAACATGCTTATTTACAAATATACAGGTTGGCAAGGATTTTGAGGAATGTAGCCACAAAATCGAAAAGGTTTAGCCTATAGCACCATTAGTCCAGGTCCAGAATATCCAGAAAAAAATAAATATCAAGTATCTCTTTTCAACTTCTTAGTCAACCAGATTTATCTTTTGAGAGTCTTTGTTGAAGGATCATGTATGCAATAGTTTATATAGCAGTAAAGGAGAGGTGTGATTAATATTTTTAATGGGAGACTAGAGTTAAATTCCACACTCAGCTATGAAGCTCATTGGGTGACCTTGGGCCAATTACAGTCTCTCAGTCTAATCTACCTCACAGGATTGTTAAGGGGATGAAATGGTGATGGGTGACAGCACCTTGAGCTCTCTGGAAGGAAGATGATAAATGTAATAACAAGTAAAATAAAATAATGAATAAACCTCACAGAGCTCAGTAAGGCTTGCTCCCAGGAAAGTGATACAGAATTGCAGCATAAATCTCTCTAAGCTGCTTGCTTTGGACTGGATGATGTGGTCCATAAAGAAACGAACAAATAAATATTTGTTCTGCTGGAATATATACCATGGCTTCTGTATGTGTTACAGGATATAGAGTACAATTGGTCAGCCTCCAGCAACACATTTGCAACTGCAAGTTAATACATTTCATAAGTGACATCATATTGCCTATGGCATCATTTGTCAAATCTCCCATAGAAAAATAATGGTTTGATAACCACAGCATAATTATTATAGTAGCAATTTGTGCCAATACATTATGTATAGAGGTGTCCGGGCATGGCTATAATAAATCCTGCTTTTAAGAGCTATTGCCTACTCATAAAAGATTTGCCATGGGCTGAAAAAAAGAGCTAGTGGAAGTATTGTAAAATAACGATATGTTACCAAACTACATATTTTATCAAGCGAATGATATGGTTTTGGGTGCATATTTACATAAATCATGCTATTATTTATGTGGCACTTGGGTTGCCTCTTTTTCAAATATAAGTATTGGCTTCCATCTGGATGATGAGATGTGGAATGCTGCTACCTGTTCCAAATAGAAACTTTCAGGCCCCTTCTGCCAGTTCTGGGGTTATGAGGTCCTCTGAAGTGGTGTGCTATGCAAAGCAATGGGGAATCAACACCACCAGCCCTGTCCATGTATCAGATACTTTCAGGGGAAACCATTGCACAGCAAATGTTGCAATATGTGGAAGGAGCAGGAGAACTTGAAATGAGATGGTACTAAAGGACATCGCCTCTTCTATGAAAGATTGCTCTGGGCACTGAAAACCATTCATTCATTCATTTCATTTCATTTATTATATTTCTATAATAAACAGAAAGAATGAATGGCTTTTGAATGTCCAGAGCAATCATTCATATGCCGCTTTTCACTTATACAAACCACAAAGCAGCTTACAGACAATAAATAACAATAACAGAACATAACACCACAATTACAACATAAATCGGGTAGAATAATTAACAAATCATCAATAAAACAATTACAGGTCATCAGTGAAACAGCCACCTTCTATGAAACACTATTAACAAAACAACTGAAAAAATAAGCACAACCACAACAAACATCATATTATAAGATTCACAAAGCATTACAGGACTCATAATCCACAAAACAGTACAAACTAACAACTGAAGCCAAACTTAGCACTGCGGAATTGACACATATTGCCCTCATGACTCATAATCATCCACTCAGTTCATCAAAATACACCTATGCATAATGCTCATGGTAGCAACTCCATTCTGAAAAAGTCATTACCTGATGGTCAGCACAAGATAGTGGGGAGGGTCATCTATGATCTTATCGAAGTGAAACTGGGTGATTTTTTTTTATTGGTTTCTTATTTTTCTTTATGGCTGCACAGCAAGGGCTGCTGAAAGCTAACTAGCTGGAATTAATTTGGAATATAAAACTGTTTAATCACATTCTCATTGATGATCTGAATGCAACAATCAAATGTTTTAAAATTTGATTCTATACCCTAATATTCTAATGTTTCTATTGCAATAAATTTTAACTCCTATCACTCTAGTTATCAGTCCAGAAGAGGGGAAAGAGGGTCCCCCCCACTCCAAAAATGACTTGCTTACCACAAAGTGCTTTTAAAATTTCAGTTTTCAGGATTTGAGTTTCCAGGAGTTCAAGCCACCCCTAAGATGCATTACGTTTAAGGGTTGATGGGGTGTGTTCAGCTTGGTGAGTCACTAAAGTCCTTCTACTTTAAGCAAGTATGCTTAGCATCTGAGAATTGCTTTTAAAAAAGATCTTGTGAAACAATTGCTATTCCGCCACCACATACTCCTATCTAGGAATGGGAGAGACATTTGATTCAGTTCACGCTGAAATTTGCACTTTCTGAAATAAGATGAGAACCAAAACACAGGAATCCTTTGAAATTGGCACTTCTACGAAGTTTGCAATGCAGTTCTCCTATCAACTAGCGTTGCCAAAAAACCCCCACTACATATAAGGGGGAAATGTAAAATAGAAATTAACATATTAGTCAAATGCATTCTGTTAGGGGAAATTGCTTGCATAGATATCAAAACTACATACAAAAGTATAGGATAAATTTGCATTGAATTTTCATAAGGTTTTGTAATTGCAAATTGCTGTAGAAATATGGAGAACTGAATTTAAGACTGGAAAAATGAGAAACCAA